CCTGAGAGAGGATGCCCAAGAGAAACAAACCCAGGCAATGGCGGTGTATCCAAGTCGTCGCTCCTGCCCGCTGCAGTTTGTCCCACTGCTGTCATCGGCGACCCAAAGTACCCATGCATTGAATTCGTCGCCGGCACAACGGCCGCGGCCGACTCGTCGATGCTGCCGAGCCGTGACTCGGTCGCTGCCGAGCTGTCGCTCCTCCCCCTGCCTCCGCTGCCGTTCTGCCCATCCATGGGGCTGACCGCGCTATTTCCCCTCCGGCGCGCGAGGGTCGCATGCGTCAGCGGCGGCTTGTTGACTGAGGTGGTCGAAATGGGCGAGACGACGCCGGTGGACCGCCTCCGCGGCTGAGCGGGTCGGCGGCCGTTGGCCCCGTGGGGCCCGTTGCTCTCCGTCTCGGTGTCCGATCCCGGCAGCTCCGGGACGAAGCCGCCCTCGTTGCTCAGCTCTGCCGCAGTGGCCCCGATGAGCGGCGACCCGAGACCGTGCTGGGAGCCCAGCTCGGAATCGCTGCCTGCAGACAGCTCGCTGGCATTGCTGTGGTTACGGCCGTGGCGGCCGCCATGTATGAAACGGTGGTAGCTGTATTGGCTGTATTGGGACGAAACCTCACTAGCTCTTCGACCTCCGAGCTGGTTGTGCACCCTTGGGGGGAGTGAGAAGTATTCTCTGGAGTTTCTATCTCCGCCATCGGAGTCGACGCTTGGGGTGTTCCACCTCGGTCCAGCAGCTGAGCTACTGTATCCACTTGGCTGGCTGAGTGTGTCGGAACCGCTGCGTGACCTGCCGTTTCCTGGTCGAGGACCCTGGTTTTGTCCTCTGGGTGATGCAATGCTCGAGGAAGGCACCATAAGGGGATCGCAGTCCATCGCATCAACTTCAGACGGGGTCGGTTGCATCCGCACGATGCTGACTTGTGTTGCTGACTTCTTCTCTGCGGTCTGACGGGTTCCAGAGCCGGATGTTGTTTCCCGGCGGGACTCCACCGCACGCTTGGTTTTGTTGAGGCGCTTGACAAGGAAGTATGCAACAGCAAGGAATATCACCAGCACGGCTGCTGCACCGCCGACAATACCGCCAATCGCGCCTTTCGAAAGACCGCTGGAACCGCCTCCGCCGGACGAGTTGTCGTCTTCTGTAGCGGCCTGCTTTGGGTAAGTAGACGGGAAGACCTTCGGAACAACACCGGTGTTGGAGTCAGCCGAATCGCCGGTTGGTGTGAACACAGAAGTAGAGGTTATTGTCGTTGCCGAGCCGTCTTGGGTGGTTGCAACGACGATGACGGTCGTTGACGGCGACGTATTGTAGCATGCCGCCGTGCCGCAAGCCATATCACTTTGGCAACAACCACCGCCGAGAGAGGCTGGACACGCAGTGTAGCCAGTGCCAGGGCATGTCTGTGAGTAAGTGGCACCAGCAGGTGGGGTGCATGCCTCATTGGCACCGCACAGGAGACCTGGAGGCAGAGATGAGGTGTTAGTCAACGGACGTGACAAGGGCGACTCCAACTCTGCACTTGATGCCCGGCTTGGCGAGAGGAATGACAAACCTTGGGGGCAGCAGCCTCCACCAGAGTCGAACGGGCATGCATAGTATCCTGTGTGTCCAGCACAAGTTGAAACGGCGGCGGTTGTCGCGTAGCACGATTCCTTCGCGCAGGCATAGTTGTTTGGACAGCAGCCGCCTCCCAGCGAGGATGGGCACAGATTATAGTCTGTCGAGCACTGGTTCTTTGCGCGCTTCTCAAGATGAAAATCCCGAGTTAGGTGATCCTCGGTGATCTTGACCTTGTAGACCCTGTGCACATATTCGCGCTTCCCGTCGCCTTGAAACATGGCTGCGGCGTGCCTGGGCAAGGCCGCGGATAGCAGCAGCAGCAGCAGCATTGTGCAGGGGGCCCACGTCCGCGCCGCACGACCCTCCATACTGCGCGTCCCGGCTGTCCTACCGAGCTTCTTGCTCTCCGCTCCGTCGAGTGTTGCCTTCTCCGGCCGGTCCGTGCGAATTCGGCAAGATCATGGGCCGGCGCGCGGCAGCATTAAAAACGATATCCTCATGAACAGGGTTGTTGACAGTGGCCGAGATGCGAGGGAGACAGGTGCGCCAGGCAGGTATGAGCAAACAGAAAGTAAGAACGAGAGAGAGAGCAAGGGCCAGTTGTATGGGTCAGCAGGTCAAAATGAGGAGGGAGTAGGGAATCGAGCGGTCCAGAACGGGCTGCAGAGGAAGACAGCTAAACTATTCTTTCCAACCGCGTGGGGGGAGGGGGGGACCGCAGGAGCAGATTCGCACTCCAGTTTGTGCGGCTGCTGTCTGGTGGCTGAGTTTTCGGTCCGTAGGACTTTACGCCGCAGACCTGCAGGCGACAACTCCCTCCCATACAGCCGACGCACGATGGGCCGCGTCGCAATCCACTTCTGCGAACACGTCTTTCAGACAGGCAGGGACATAAGAAGGGTGTGATAAGCATGCAATGTCGCAGACATCAGGGACTCTGACAGACTGACTGACCGCTTGACTGACAACCAGAGGGGATCTGTGTGGGGCGGAAGCAGGTATGTTTCTAATCTGAGTCCATGTGATGGAACGCTCTGAAGGGCTGAACTGGTGGTATATCAGCTTGAGTAAAGCGATCGAGGACAAGGATCAGGAGGGAGCGGAAAATGCTCTTCGGGCGTCACGGCAAAGGCAAAATGCCATGGATAAGCAGCGGCTGACCATGCTGATGTCCCAGACATGTGGTAGAAGGAACTGAGGATGGGGCATGTCGGTCCTGTGGGACGGAGCCCTGTGCCATTCCACGCAGAGTCCCGATCTGGACACCGCAGCGGCGATGGCCGACAATGCCGAATCCTGCTGCCTTGCGGTGCCCTCTCGCCCATGTCGGCCCTGGGCTTCGTGCCGCTCAGCGTCAGGCGATAGAGTGGGTGTGTTCTGTCGTGGATGCACCGAAGGATGTCCCAACGCCAGCGAGAGACCAACGCTGCCGTGAGCATCTGGGTCATCTTGGCCAATAAAAAACCCGGGAGGGAAAGTCAGCCGTCTTGGCCGCTGCAATTGGACCCAAACGTAACCCCATCCTGCAGAAGGAGTGGCTGGCGCCAGAAAGGGAAAAGGCCCTACTTGAGCATCGCTTCCGAAGGGGACATGCTGTCTTGCCTGTCTGCACGATGCGCGCCAGTCTGACATGCATCCTTACCGAGAAGCATGTCTCGTGGACCTGTCTTCCTGTCTTGGTGAGACGGATCGAATCGAGGCGATTGCCACTTATTGTGGCGTACCACTAAAGAGCCTCTAGATATTGCCCTGCAGTCAAATGGCACAAGGCCACCAATGCTGTTGCGTGGGGTGGCCTGAACTCGTCACACAAACTGAAGCATTTTCTGTGCAACAACACCATGTTGTATGCTCAACAAGTAAAGACAGCAGCGGTAAGAGCGGCGATATATTTGGAATTCGGGCGACGCGGTCTGCGATGCTTTTGAGCATGTGAAAATCATCATTGATGGCCCTGACGGGTTGTGGACATCTGCTGCATGGCTTCGGTGAGGTTCCGAGGTTCCGGGGAGCCTCACCCCCGAGGGATTCCGGTGCTCGGGAGACAGGACGGAGGGTAACAGATCTCGGAGTGTGGCAGACGAATCCAGGGCCTTTGGGAAGGACCCGTAAGGTCTGCGAAGAACATGTTTTGGTTCCGATGAGCGTTGTTGGCACACCCAGTCCTTTGTTCAGATTCCCGTGCGACACGACCGGGCGACCGGGCGACCGGGCGAGCACGAAGCGATCGCCCGAGGTGTATCGCTTGGTGGTGTGTGTCTGACCTACAGCTCGCAGAATCGACCTGAATTTTTGCTCAACAGGTCTGAAAGTGAATCAGAAAAGTCCGCACCCGAACAGGTTGCCTTGTCAAGTAGGGAGATTGCCCTGTCAGAAAGGCGGGATGGGACGTTCATGCTGATTCAGGTACATGCAGATGTTTTGGTTCCCTGCATGTGAGGTGTAGCCAGAAGGTCCCTTCTCGCGTGTTGATCTCGCCAAGGCTCAATCCTCGCGACAGGTTCACAGACGGCAGCACGACAGGAGGTTGCTCTTGAGACGAACGTTCTGACCGCGGACATTGAAGTGGTCCACGAGACGGATAGAATACGAAGGTCGGTTGTGACAGGTGGGCTGCAGTCGTCGGCGGTGGAGGGCCCTGCGAGGAAAATGGTTGGTTCGACAGTGTCACATAGTCTCTCTGGCCCGCGTTTCCATGGCAGAATGCGGGCCATTCACCTCTCTTTGCGAGGCATCACCTTGGGGTTTTGCATATGGACAATCGTTCTCGCAGAAGGACATTCGAGACGTACTGGAGGTGTGGTAACGCAGCCAGGGCAGTCTGATCTTGGTGCTTGCGGTGGCCCTTCGCCCTCGTATCCGTCCCTCATCTCTCGGTAGTCTTCCACATGATCCCAACCCGGCCACCTGCCGGATGGGGGCCTTCTCCGAGCAACCCAGATACTTGGCCCGCACCAACGCCCGACAGCGTCAATTCCTTTGTAGTTCATAATTAGACAGCCCTGACAACGCAGATATTTGCTTAACATGTCACCAGCACCAACAACCCCAGAGTGCCTAAGCGGCGGCTTTGGGTGCCTTTGCGGTGTGGCATGATAATGCAAGATCTCCGAGATCGTGGACTGGGGCCAGAAATAGCTCTTCCGTAGCGCCGGCGCCGTCAAACTGTCCAGTCACCGTAACATTTCTTCTACAGCCTACAGCACATTGAGGATAGCGTCTTGTGAAATTGGGGTTCCTGTGTTTCCCCAGATTTCTGGGCATCCGGTCCTCCTTGCCACCTGCTCATGCGCGCTCACACCCCTCACCTCTTCTCTGTCCGCCGGGAACCCCCCGCTCCAGCCATTTCAGCCTACCACTTCGAGAAGACGAGTAAAAGTTAAACGTACTGTACGTGAAGAAAGATCGGTAAATCGAAGCAAAACAAAAACAACTTTGTTCGACAGCGATCGGATTTGAACCGATGCCTCCGAAGAGAATAGATTTCGAGTCTATCGCGTTAGACCACTCCGCCACGCTGCCTTGTTCTGGTCAGACGATAATGAGGTATATATACACAGAATTCCCATATTGGAGTGAATTGAAGTCCTGCTTTGTCCATGGCATTAAGTAAGAATGAAGAGCACTCAGCAAATCACCTCCTTGCTCGCTTGTGCACTCTTCCATTATTTAAGGGCCCTGATATCTGTATGAGAATCGCCCCATGACACACCACGTTTATGCTTCTGTCCACCAGAGTCGATCCTGGAACAAGACTGTTTGACGATTAAAATAGTGTTCATTCCATTATAGCTTCTCCTGCAGGAGATTATTTCCCACTTGTATAGTGCAGTGCGGAGAGTATGTGTTCCTGTGCAGTCGCTCGTATGGCTTCACGGGCGAGTATCTGGACCGCTCGCCCGCCGTGCCTGACCTGGGGCCAGGCCCAACCAACCCCGCATGGTTCACCCTCTCCACTTCCAAGCCTCCAGGTCCATCAATTAGGTGTCGAGGCCGGCCCAAGCTTAACCCAAGATGGGGCAAGATCAGGTCCACCTCCGGCGTACTGTGACCTCGTTCGCAGGAACAGGGGCCTCCCGGGCCATGGGGAAAGGACGCATTGAAGCCACAAGTTGGAGGAGCCCAGGAGCCCAGGACCCCAGGAGCCCAGGAGCCCGAGGCTGGCTAACAAGGTCGTGGGTAACGTCCAGGCGGACCTTGCCCGTAACGGGTGTGGTGGGTAAGGAAAGCGTACAACAAGAGTCCAGACGCCATCGTGACTCGATTCCAAGTATGGCTTGTGACCGCTCTGGATCTGACCTCGACTTTCTCCTTTCTCCCCTCGTCTCGTAATCTCGCCCTCTTCATATTGTCCTTCTCTTTCCCCTTGATTGCCCTCTTCTCGCCTGACAACACGACACTCCTCGGCGACGTTGACGACCCGGCCGATTGATCCACCGAGTACGCCCTTGCGACCGCCACCCCCAGAATCCCCAGACCCCAGAGTTCCCGTCCCGTACCCTTCCTTGTCTGCGACCCCAATTCCCACATCCACGAGTCGTCCCCGCAGTCCGAGTGTTCAACCAGGCGCGTCAGCGATAACTTCGCAGAACTGCGCCCACACCCCGGGCATTTCAAGTCTCCGCCTGTCAGGCGATGGGTGTTTGCAAAACCATGAGCCATTATTGAATTTGATCACGAATGTAAAGAGTAGGAAACGACTGGAAACACAGGATCGACGGCGCCGGCATTTTAAAAAACAAAAACGTCATGGGTTCGATGTTGGATTCTGGCAGGATGTTGTTATATACGAAAGTGGCGGCTCCCAAAGCCCCCAAGAGACGGTCGAGGGCAGGTATGTTCAGTCCAAGACAATTCAATTCAATCCAGTCCACTCCAGCCGCATGTCAATAAGTTAGGCACTTGCGGTCCCCCAGCCTCAATCCCGATCGCGCCGTCCTCGTTCGGGCTGAAACCTGCATCCCATCACATATCAATCACACACCTGCAGTCCCTCTGTCTGGAGCCGTCCGTCATTGAGATGTCGACTCTACCTGAAGGCATGGAATTGAGCTGACCACGAGATTTCCATTTGTTTCACCAGGTTGTACATTCTGGTAAGTAGCCTTCTGCGCGTCAACGACGCCACCTCCACACACTCGTTGTTGCACATCGGCTGACCATTCACAGTAAAGAAAAGGTTCGTCCGATCTCCGTGTCTCAGGAACCAATACCACCCTCTTCTACGCACACGTGAGTAGCCTTCGCGGCAAGAACCTTAGCTGACGACCTCGCAGAAGAAGAAGTGTGACGAGGTCCGACCATCTTGCTCACGCTGTGCCGAGCGAGGCCTCGACTGCTCGTATGAGGCAGTGAGGCCGCGCCAGAGGAGGAAACGAAACTCCAATGCCTCGTCAACAGTCACCAGCCAGCTCGACCGGAGGCTCTCCTTTGCCTCGACCCGTCGCTGGTCGGTCGGAAGCAGCGGCAGTGCTCATCATGACTGGTACCACTACCACGCCGGCTCCAAGGGCGAACCGGATCACCTCATCAGCCCCCTCGACGGTACTTTCGACTCCATATCCCTGCCCACCATAACCGACCTGAACTGCAGCTTCAGCCCCGGCACAATCACCGAGTCCGCCATCGAGTTCGAGGAGGACGACCATGCGGAAAGCGCAAGCACGAGCCGCGCGGTGACCCACGTCTCCAAGCCGCCGGACCTCGCCATGATCGCGCCGTGCCCCGTGGGCTCACCGCTGCTGGACTTCTACATCCCCGCCTTCTCCGAGTTCTCAGATCGCACGAACCGGCGCGCACTCGTCGCCCACTTCTGCGAGAGCCTCAGCCATCTCATCGTCTTCCGCGAGGAGAGCGGGAACCCCTTCCGGGAGCTTGTCTTGCCCCTGACGGCCAAGAGCTCCCCCGTCATGAACGCCATCTACGCCCTCTCCAGCGCGCACATGGAATATCGCGGGGTGACGAATCAAGAGCAGTCGATGTTTTTCCATGGTCAGGCGATTCAGGGGCTTGCGGCCCTGATCGACCAGAAGGCGAAGACCGCCGAGAATAGGAATGAGCTGTTGGCGGCCATCATGCTTTTGGTGTACTACGAAGTGGTATGTGAAAGAATCGGTATCCCGCCGAGTGTTCTCGCTGACCTTTTGTGCAGTTGGTTCAAAGGGGACGGTCCAATTTGGTTGATGGCCACCTTAAGGGCGCCATGACGATTATGAATTCATATCCAACAGCAACGGATGCTACTGGAATTTTCTTAGAACGAGTACGTTGTTCCCTCTGCTTGCCCTGCACTTATCTGTGCGCCTTACTGACACCTGCGGAAGGCCTTCCGATTTTACGACGTCATTGCAGCCCTATCATTTGGCACAGCGCCGCTGTCACAAGCCCCAGGAAAAGGCTGTCTCCACCCATTCCCTCCCACCGGGGCCCCAGCCATGTCCTCGCTCAGCTCCGTCGACACACTACTGGGCATGGCAACATCGCTCTGGCCGATAATCCACCGTCTGTCCAAGCTCTCCTCCGACAAGACGGAACTGGAAAGCGCGTGCCGCGAGGGCCAGCCCTCGTCCATGATTGCCGTCCTCAAGACCGAATTCGAGACAAACTCACAGGCGATCGAGAGGGCGCTGGAGTCATGGCAGCCGTACCTGCCTCCCGGGTTCAACCCGGACAACCCGCCGTCCCCCGAGACGGAGGAGCGCCGCCACGACACGGAGACGGCGGAGCGGTCGCGGCTGCACTCCATCTTCAACAACGCCATGGCGTATCGGCACAGCGCTTTTGTGTATCTGTACCACACCATCTACGGGTACCCGCGCAGCCACAGTTCGGTCCAGACGCACGCGCACACGGCGCTGTGGCACTGCCTGCAGACGTGCTCGCACGCGGGACCCATGGGCGCGCTGCTCTGGCCGCTCTTTGTTGCGTCGTGCGAGGCGGTCACGGAGCAGGACCGGAACCTGGCGAGGGACGCATTTGCGCTCGTGGAGAAGAGGCAGGGCATGATCAACATCAAGTGGGCGTGGGACATCGTCCAGGAGGTGTGGCGCCTGGCCGACGCCATGGACAGCGAGCGGGGAGGCGAAGGGGGCGGCAGCACCGAAAGCAGCAGCAACAACGGCGGTGCGCAGCTCGTCGGCCTGGGGGACCTCCCCGTCGCTGGGGCGCTCTCCACGCCGGACCTGTGGAGGAAGGTCAGCAAGCAGATGGGGATCAGTATCGTGTTTGGGTGAGCGGGCCGAGGCGGAGGTGACGGAGCCGCCGTGGCGGCGCATGGTGTATTGATACGACGTGTAATCACATGGGTTGGGGCGTATTGGACAGGGGGTGGGGAAGCATTGCACGGTGAAAATCAGACCCCCCTTCGAGGCCGGGGAATATTGGACTTTCCGGGGTTGGGAAAATTATTGACATGGGGTGGCTTATTATGGTCAGTTGGCTTATCGCAAAGTCCTGTACAAACGCGTCTGGATGCTTGAGCATACTTTTGTAAATTCTATCCACGGCTTTGGAGTTATGTCTTGACGCGAAGGTCTGTCCCCGGTCGATTCGCAATCATTGACCATGTCTGCAATGTGAAAAGACCGCGAAGAACCTGGGCTCCCACGCTCAAATAACGCCAGCAGTTCATTTTACAAGTTCATGCCTGTAAACGTTGCGGAGCTGCGCACCAGTTCGCACAACAAGTGCTGGGCAATATACTCTCCAAAGACTTGTTCTCGGGCCGATTTCTGGGCAAACAAGCACGACTACCTGGGTACTGGACTGAGGCTGCGCAGTCCCGAGTCCTGACTCCAAGGTAAATATTGTTCGGACAACCGCCTCCGAAGCTCTCAGATTGGACTCAGCGCCGTTACCAAGCCGGTGTGGCGACTGAGCTGCTCACTGCATCCAAGTCTTCTGCCTATATGATGCCCTCCAGCTGGTCAAGTCGTCACAACGACTTGCGGCGTGAACAGCCCGACCTTTACGGACCTTCGGCAGCTCAGCGATAGCGAAATAGGACCTTGACGACTATAGGAGATGGTTGACTTCCCGACCCCCTTCCCTGTCCTATAGAGCAAATCCAATACACCGGGTATGGTCCGAAGCTACCAGTAGACGACGTCGAGGTCAAAACACCTCGACAGGAGTGCACAGCTTTTCCATGCTTGCGGGTGGATACCTCAGTTGGTGGTTGAGGGACCAAGTCACCTTCAGAGTGGCTGGTCCTGGCTCCCGAGAAAGGGAGTGAGACTTGTACGACGCATACAGCGGGGAGGCTGTTGTCGCACAGCAAGGTCCTAGGAAGCGAGTGAAGATCTCATGCTGCTGCAGCCCTGCAGGTCGAAAACCAGTGTGATCGGATGGAAGATTGGGTCGCAGAGCTCGGGGACCGTTCGCATGTGACAAGAGTTGTTGTCTTGCAGTCAAAAGTGGATCTTATCCAAGCTATCCGAGGATTGTGTCGTCGATGAGGTGACGGTGGTGGAGACTCGCAGCTCATCTGATTCATTGATTGACTGTTTGGAAAGGAAGAGAAC